AATGGTTATCAGTATTTTGTTACTTTTATTGATTATTTTTCTCGTGTTACCTGAATATACTTGATGAAACAGAAGAGTGAGGTGGTTGCTTGCTTTAAAGATTTTCATAAGGCAATCCAAACCCAATATGGTGCGGTTGTGAGACGTTGAGATCTGATAATGAAACTGAATGTCAACGAAGCATTTTAGACTTACCTGTCAACTCAAGGGATTCAACACCAAACCACATGCCCATACACACCAACAAAGAATGAAGTAGCAGAGAGGAAGAATCAACATCTTCTAGAGGTAGCCCATAACATGATGATGACAATGAATATCCCACATCACTTATGGGGGCAAACAGTGGTCACAATCACTCAACTTATTAACAAAATGCCCTCAAACCTGCTGGAATGGAAATCTCTTTATCAGATGTTGAAAGGAGATAATAGTGAGATTCTTCCGTTGAAGGTATTTGAATGTGTATGCTTTGTAAAAGACAACAGATAATCTGTAGGGAAGTTGAATCCCAGAGCTGTGAAATATGTGTTCGTGGGTTATTCTGCCTACTGTAGCCTTATTGAGAAGGGACTCTTTGTGAGTATGGTTGTTTCATTCAGAGAGTTTGAACAATACTGCACTCTGGAGTTGAATTCACTATTTGGCAACTCAACCAATGCTGAAGATATGAGGCAAAAGAGAGTGAGTAATAGTGGTGATAGAATGATGCATGTGGTACCAATGTCATGTCCTGTGATGTGGGATGAATCAACTGAGGAGACGGAAATCGAGATTGAACCTAGAGGTGGTGGGATTCAGATTGAAGGTGTGCTAAGGGTGTATGCACTGAGGAAGAAGCAAACCGAGGGAACAGAGTCTGTCGTGCCAACAAGTCCCTTATCCTTATCTTCCCCAACTCTTGAGACTCCCACACCATTCACATTTGATTCAAAACTCCCAAGTGATAATATTCATCCTCTGTCCACTCCTACCTCCCTAATTTTAAGGAGAAACAACCACAAATACAGAACATTTCCTGATCGTTTTGGGTAGGAACTAAACACTGCAAATTTTATTTCTTATTATAATAGCTCACCTTTGCATGGAGCATTTATTGCATCATTGGACTCTGTCTGTATACCCAAGTGTTGACAAGTTTCTAAAGAGGATTCCTTAGGTGAAAAGCGGCGACGCATAAAGAGCTTGGTGCTCTTGATAAAAAATAAACATGGGAGAGTGTACCACTACGAGCAGGGAATAAGACAGTTGGATGCAAGTGGAGCTTCATGGTAAAACAAAGTCCAGGAAGGAATATGGAGATATTAAAAGCACTATTAGTGGCAAAAGGGTACAGTTAGACATATGACATTGACTACGATGAAACCTTTGCACCAATTGCAAAATTGAGCAATGTGAGGACACTGGCTTCTCTGGCCGTGAATGTTGGTTGGAGACTCCACCAACTGGATGTGAATATTGTTTTTCTTCATGGGGCTAGTGGATGAGGTATATATGGATATACCACTAGGATTTAGTACATCCCAGATAGTAGGCAATGTGTGTAGGCTCAAGAAGTCAGTCTCCTCGAGCCTAATTTGACAAGTTTAGAATGACGATGGTTGGCATGGGATATCAATAGATCGATGCAGACCACACGGTGTTTTTTTGCAACATAAAAGCCACACTACCATACTTGCTGTGTATGTGGATGACATAATTATCACTTGTGATGATGAGACAGATTGTTCAACTGAAACGAAAATTGGGAAAACAATTTGAGGTAAAGGATTAAGGACAACTCAGATATTTACTTGGGATTGAAGTCGCTCATAGGCCTCAGGGGATGGTCCTATCCCAGAGAAAGTATGTGCTAGATCTTCTCACGGATACATATATGAGGGGATGCAAGCTACAGTCTCTCCAATTAATCAGAAGGTCAAGCCCAGTGCAGAGGGATGTGAATCGGTTGATCGTGAGAGTTACCGGAGGCTAGTGGGCCGCTTGATCTATCTGTGCCGCACTCGATCATATACCTCTTTTGCAGTAAGTGTGGTGAGCCCTACATGCATGATCCAAGGAAGGGCCTTAGGATGTTGTGTATCAGATTCTGAGGTATCTTAAGAGTGCACCAGGGAAATGGTTGATATTCAGGAAGAATGATCATGTAGATATTGAGGGCATTTGTGATTATGACTGGACAAGTTGTGCTGATGACAGACGATCCACATCAGGATACTGCATGTATGTTGGTGGCAACTTGGTCTCATGGAAGAGTAAGAAATAGTCAGTTGTGGTAAGATCAACAACAGAGGCAGAATACAAGTCCCTGACATTAGTAGTTGCTGAGATGATCTGGTTGAAAGCCTTGTTGGTTGAACTCAAAGTAGAGCAAGGAACTCAAATGAAGTTGTGGTGCGACAATAAGTAGGCAATCAACATTGCTAACAACTCGGTGCAACATGATAGAACCAAATATGTGGAGATTGATAGGTTTTTCATCAAGGAAAAGCTGAATAACAGACTACTGGAGCTTTTTCATGTAGCAACTGGAGAGCAAGTGGCGGACTGCCTCACCAATTGACTAGCTCATTAGATTTGTCTAGGTTATGTGACGAGATGAGCTTAATAAATACCTTTTGCTCATCTTGAAGGGGAGTATTGTGATTTGTATCTAATGAAGGGTCATATTTGCAAATAGATGAAATATCGATATTTATTTGTAAATGTTCCTTGTAAGGTTCATTGTGATTTGTATCTAATGAAGGGTCATATTTGCAAATAGATTAAATATCGATATTTATTTGTAAATGTACCTTGTAAGGTTCTATATAAGCCCATCATGAATGAAATGCAGCAAGTTTTTTGAGCAATAATTCCTATTATATTCATCACAACTAATTTTTAAATCATTTTGGCTTGTTTTGTAAAATAATTTGGTCTTCATATTTACATATTATATTTGTGTGGTTTACTTCTTTTAATTTCTTCATTTAGGAATTAGATATAGTTCTTTGTTACTATTCCCTAGGCTAAAATTACCGTTCTAATATTTTCATTACTAATTTTATATCATATTAGTTATTTCATGATTTATCTGATTTGTATAAGGATATTTGCAGAAAGCTAGCTGCTACTATCTGCAACAATTATAATTTTTTTTGCTGATATTAATTGGAGGTAAGTTATGTTCAAGCTGGTAATTAAGTATAGACGTGTTTAAGAAATTAAATGCTATAAATTAATGGCTATTTAAAAGTATATCACATATTGAAATTAACACATGAAGACAAAAAATAAGATTAATTCATATTTCATTTCACTTAATTTTATCTTATTTCATAACATTGTTGCGACGATTATTCAAAGTCAACAGTTGAGCTGAAATTGAATTGAATTGCGTGATAAAAATTAAAAATGTATTGAAAAAGTTTATAAGATTTAATAATGACTCAATAATAATATATTCGCTAATTCAATAAATAATATTTTAATTTAGGATATTTTATTCTTAAAATATTAAACTTTTTGACATGTTATTTTAATTATTTTACCATTTTTATCAGTCTTTCTTTTCTAACAATCTGATCTAAATCAAAAAAATTGAAAATCGATCATTATTAGAATTGCTTAGGTCATCAAATTTTACCTAGTTATTTCATACGATCAATTTTGTAGAGTAATTTTTTTTTTTCAAATTGATTGGGTTGGGGTGGGACAGTTGAGAGAGCACAATTCCCATTTCGTAGACAACCATGCATCTTATTCTTACGTATTTGCCGTTTTTGTTTTGAGTTGGCTATCTTGGATTGTTGTTGGGAATCTCATGGAATATTTTTTGCATCTTTTTTCTCTGGATTAAGAGTTCTTGAAGGAATTTTTTGGGCTTCCTTATTGCTAGCTTACTATTATGGTATATCCATTCCTTAAATTGAGTTTTTAGATGTAATCATATCTGGAATTAAATTAGGCTATCTTTGTGCAAACCATTACTAACGTAGGGATGGGAAATCTATAAATAAATTCTCAAGAATGTTATTATTATTTAACATCAATTGGATGAAGTTTCAAATTCCAATTTTTAATCATTTGTAAAGCTTTGATATATGATTATTTTGAGTGCAATACAAATGCGGAAACTTTTATTTATTTCTTTTTGCCTTTTTTTTCACATATGTAAACGCACGCACCCCACATATTTAAGGTCTTGAACCGAAGACCTCTTGGTTGAAAGAAAAAAGCTCTCAACTACTAGACCATAGTGGGTTGCCTAACAAGTGTGGCAACTTAATATGAGAAAGCTGTTTCTATGTTTCAGCGTGAAGCCTCAATTTTCCTTTGATGGTTTCCTTTCTTTTTTAATCTAATATTTTAGTTCTTTGCTTGCTAGAGTTCTTGGTTTTATTTAAACATGGTACAATTGAAATTTATTTGCATTGAAAATTTTCTAATTACCCGTTGAACTTGGTTGTTCCGAATTTCTCATTGATTTTCTTATGATCAAATCAAGTATTTCATTCTCTTCTGTATTTTAATTCTCATATTTTTTAAGTTTGAACCTAGAAAGTTTGTGCATTTAAAATTTTTTTCTAGATGAATATTTGTTTCTTTCTTGTTTTTATGATCAACATTTAGACCCTAAATCACCTTCTATTAACTTGGATGTAATTACCTTATTCAGTAAAATAACTGCTTGTCTTATATTTATGCTTGAAAAGCTTCATCATGTTCTCTGTCAGCAGAATTATCATCGACAAAAACTATTACAGCTTCCAAGTTCCTTTTAAGCAGCCAGAAAGTTCTATTTGTTTTAATTCATCATGGCAAGCTATAAGATGATTGCAATCCAAGTCTTCAAACATTTAGTTCGATTTTGGGGTTGAGACTTTATCAAATATAATATATAGTTCTGGTTTTTATTAACTGGACTTACAGGCATGATTTATATATAGTTCTGGAAGCTTTCTTGTTTTATTTTGTTACAAGGTAGCTAATCATCAGTCTATTATTTCATTTTGCAGTCCATTGGTTCCTTGCAGAAGAAGTATTCAATTGGATCTTTTGAACTACTTAGCAAAACAGCACCAATTCAAGCTCTCTCTCTTTTAATTCTGGGTCCTTACATTGATTATTATCTCAATGGTAAATTCATTCTCAACTACAAGTTGACTTCGGGCTCTATAGTAAGTTATTAACTATCGTCTCATATCTATGTCGATCTTGTCTGAATGTAAGAACACAATGTAAGCCACATTTCCGATTCTGCAGTTCTTCATTCTTCTCTCATGTGCACTTGCCGTCTTCTGTAACATCAGTCAATACCTCTGTATCGGCCGTTTCTCGGCTGTATCGTTTCAGGTGTTGGGCCACATGAAAACAGTTTGTGTGCTTACTCTTGGCTGGTTACTCTTTGATTCACAGCTGAGCTTAAAAAACATTATGGGGATGGTTCTGGCAATCGTCGGCATGGTTGTCTATAGTTGGGCGGTTGAGTTGGAGAAGAAGACAAATGCTAAGATTTCTCTATCCAAAACAAGCCTAACTGAAGAGGAACTCCTTCTTTTGAGAGAGGGAATTGAAAATTCTTCCACAAAAGATGTGGAGCTTGGGGATCCCAAGGCCTAGCAACAAAATGAGAGGGTTCTGTAACACTAAAATTACTTATTTTTTTAATGAGGTAAGAGGCTTTCGATCAAATCATTTGTTCAATATCTGTCTTCCACTGAGAAAATTCTGTGAAGGATGGACTTGATTATTTTGTATTGAGGGTTAAACGTTATGTATTTGTCTTTCTTACATGAAAATTTAAATGGTATATGGTCATCATTTTTTTTATGCAACTTATCCATGGCCTTCATATTGAGGTTAAGGTGATTGGTAAATGTTGTATACCTTTTGTGGAATAATTTTATTTTATTTTATTTTTTTAAATGTCATTTTCAAGATATCATTCAAAGATAGTTGGATTAATCAAATGAATTATACTTCACTACTTGAAAGCATTCAAACAGGATTTTCCTGGTTCTTGTGTTTATAGTTGATGTCAATGTAAGGCCCACTATTTAATTTTCAAATTACTCATTCTAGTGTTCCCCTCCCTCTCTTTCTCTAAATTATTTTTGCACACGGTTCGCAACATCTCAACATGACTTTCATTTTTCTTCGCGCACAATGATATAGTGTAAGACTGCACAAACACATCATTCAACATTTGTTAAATTAATCAATTGTATAATGCTTTGCTCTTTAAAAGCAATGAGACTCAAAAAAATATATACTACTGGGTCAACATGTATATTTAAATGATAAGTAAAGTTTTATTGTACATCGATCAAGTTTTTGATGTTATTGGTGGGAATTGATGTTAATGAGTCAATTTAGGTTAATACTTGATGAGAATTTGAAATTTAGGTTCAAAAAAATTACAGTGTTACTTGTTATTTTATTTTATTTTGTATAATTTATTACTTGTGTTTGATTGTATAGAATTTATTGTACTTTGTTATTAGAAAAATCCAAAAAATATTAAAAGTATGTATTTGTTTTTCACAAGTTTAATGTTTAGTGTGTTTCTTATTTTGATTTCATTATTTTTATTTGTGACTTGTGTTGGTTGTTAGTTTTGGGTCACTAGTTAGTTTTAGGTTGTATATATAAGATAGATTTTATTAAACTAGTAATATTTCACTTTAAAATTGAGAAAATTGCTAAATAAATTAAAAACCTTACAAAACTCGAAAATACTTTAAGAGAAATGTTGAACCCTCATAAAGAAAACACTCAACTTAGACTGCTTAAGGATTTTGCCAACTCTATGGTAGAGGAAATTTATCGTAGCATTCATAACCCTATCATTGAAGCCAAAATCTTTGAACTTAAACTTTCAATAATACAAATTTTCCAAAATAATCAATTTGGAAGTTCATGAACAGAAGACCCAAGCTTACATTTAGCTAGTTTCTTAGAGTTATGTGTGACTTTTAGGTATAATAATGTCTCAAATGATGTTGTTAAACTTAGGGTGTTTCCATTTTCCTTTAAAGATAAGACTATGATGTGGTCACAACTTAGAATAACTTAGCACAAAAATTCCTAACTAAATACATTCATCCATTAAAACTTTCAATTTTGGAAATGACAACTTTTTTCAACGAGATGGATAGTGAGTCAATATATGAAACCTGAGAGAGATTTAAGGAGTTACTTAGGAAATGCCCAAACCTTAACCTTAATGATTAGTTAAATATACAAACCTTTTTATAATGGATTGGTGGGATGTTGACCTTATTTTTGATGAGTTCTTTCGAAGCCTAAGATCTAGCCATAGGAATTTCCTGTTGACTATCCTAGAGGACTTAGTCAATGGAGCTCTCCCACATATAAATTCCAAACTCTTATTTACTCTTCTTGTGAAGTCTCACATAGGTGGTCACAATCCCCAAAATGTCATTTGGGATGATCAAGACCAACTTGTGGAGACTCGAGAGTGAGCTCCTATAGGTTTAATCAGGCCTTAGGACAATCCTGGGTGACTTGGTCTTGGTCACAACCTCACATAAACCCAAAAACCTAAACTCACATTGCACTTGACCTATCCCCACACTCTTTTTGAAACTCATGTAGGTGGTCCCAAGCCTTAGTTGTTGGCTATGGTGGCTAGGACCAACATATGGGGGATCTAAAATGGGCTCTCCCATTGGTCTAATGGCACAAGAAGGGTGATTTCATGACCAACATATCCAATGAGCTTCAATTCCTCCAAAACACCCACCCTTGGCTTGGTCGGTCGCTCTAGTGGCTGGAAAACCCAAAATCGAGAGCTTGCACGTTGCCCTAGACCCAAAATTGAGCTCATCCCTTTTGGCTCTCTCTCAGCCCTCCACCAATGGTAGCCTGAGGCCTCCCCTTTGGCCTCAATTATAAATAGCCCCCTCCACAGCCAAATTTGAAGATCATCCAAAACCTAGGGGAAACTCTGCCCAATTGCTTCCAGAGCTTCTCGCAGACCTCTTAAGTGCAATCCAACCATCCTTAGTCATCCATTCCCATTGTCCAAGCTCAATTTAACCACCCAAATCCAGGGCTTTTTCGGCCACTTCACCAAACCTCTTAAAGCTTCAAATTAATCATTCCATAAACTTCCGCACACTTCAAAACCTCCTCCCCAATCAAATGCCCCTTCTCCCGAGCACCCTAACATAATCCAAGACCAAGCCCGAGTCACCTCTCGACTGAAATCATACATAGGTCACACCTCAACTCAAGGCAACACTTTGAGGAGCTTCGTGGACGCAAGGCGATTGTCTCTAACCAATTCAATCGAGGCCTCACCTCTTGGGCAAAGGCATAACTCGAAATCCCTAAATTCTTCCTCGGTTTTATTGATTGTGAAGTGAACTTGTATTTTATATGTATTTAACCGTATAGATAGGTTTGTCTCACTTAGATGAAGGTGTGGGAACAAACCTCGACTGATTTGGTTGAGAATCAGGTGAGATATTAAGTCTAATACACAGACGGTTCTCAAGTTAAGACGATTGGGGACAATGAATGGTTGTCGTCCATTTCCGCCTGTATAGAATATACGGACCAGATCACGTCAAATGAGTAGTCGGAACGCGAACCGTGGGCACAGTCAGCAGACTACATGGAAAGTACGGTGAATCACGGGAACGACGCGTGTGCGTTCGGAGACGTTGAGGTTTTGTTGGCAATTGACTCAGATAAGTAGATAAATAGAGTATTTTAGAATTAAATAAATACAAAAAATTTAAAGATACATATTTTGATGTAGAAAAATCATAAAAATAAAATAAAAATACCTCTGTGCTCAGTGAAAAAAGGAAAAAAATGTGGACTAAAAATTAAAAATATTTTTCTTTTATTTATTTTTAAATAAATTAAACACTCCAGAGAGTAAATAAATCATAAATAATTCAATAATTATTTAAATCAAATGAAATTTTGAGTGTTTGTTTTGGATTACATTAAGGATCTTTTCTGATTTTTTAATAGTCAAAGGGCATTTCTATGGTCAAAAGCCCTATTTCTTGAAATATGTAGTATTATTTTAATTTAAAAATCATAAAAAATAATATAAATGTTAGAAAAATACAAAATCTAATTTGGTAGGTTTACTGTGGTCACAGGATCTTAGGAAAAATAAAAATAATATTTATAAAATTTTCAAGCCATTTTTCCTATTTAAAATTAATAAAAATAACTAAAAAACAGAAAAAAAAAATATGAAATAATTCAAATAATTATCAAAATGGGCCAAGTTGTAGGTAATCATTTTAGGAGGTCTTTGTAAAAATTTGGAAGCCAAAAAAAATTATTTCTAATGTAAATAGGTATTTTCAAAGTAAATATTAATTTTGGTTTAAAATAATTATAATAAATAAAAGAAAAATCAGAAAAATATGAAAATTAGTTTGGAATGTTCCTTATGACCAAAGGGACCTAAGAAAAATAAAATTGAGATTAAAATAAAAAAAATTATTTTTTAAGCTATTTTATAATTTTAAAATAATTAAAAATAACAAAAAAATACCCAAATGCAAAAATACTCCAAATTGCTTTAAATGCCACCCAACAACAAAAAATAACTTGAAGGGGTGTTTATAAATTTTTTATTGTGTAAAAAGGCGTTTTAAATAATTAAATGTATTTTTCTTACTTTGTGAGTAAAATAATTACAATAAATAAAAATAAAATTCACATCACTTCTCTAAGCTCCATGGAATCAGAGAGACAAATTAAAAATATAAAAAATGATTTTTTATAAAATAAAATATATTTTCTATTTATGTAATCATTAAAATCAATCAAAAAAATTGTAAAGGTCAAAATATAATTTAAAAATTCACAAAAATTATTTCTAGTGGTCCTCTGGCCTAAATAAACCTCCAATAATTTCTTTAAGTACAAAAAGTTTATTTTACTAGGTTAAATTAATTATCTTTGAAAATCCCTATTTTTGAACTAAAATAATTATAAAAATATTAAATAAAAATTAGAAAAATATAAATTCTCTTCTATTACTCTAATGGACCAATGAGTGGTGTAACATCAAAGTTTCAAAGTCATTTGAGTTAAGCTTAAGGAATTATGAAGTGGAAGCAGTAATTAAGGAATTTTTAACCTTAATCAAAATTTAGGATAAATCAAAGGGTAAGAGGATAACATTGATGATAATCAGTTCTCTGAAATGATGGGAACATAAAGGGCTAAAGGATAAAACCAACTCATTCTATTTTCTATTGAAGGGTAAAAATGTAATTTCCTGAATTATTGTGTTTTGGAAGTCAATTAAAATGGATGATCCTAAGGTGGGCTTATGTTAGGAAGATAATAACTCACTAATTAGAAGCCCTAGACCATTGGTCGCATGATGATACAATCCTTTAACAATAATTAAGTTCACCTCATTCAACCTTTCTTCTAAAATTACAAATCTATCCATAAAGACTCAAGAGCTTGATAGTGAACTTGGTTTGATCCAATATCGCTTAATGAGGTTTAGAAAAGATAACACATTCAATCATAAACATTTGTCAAACATTCCAAGCTCAATTTGAATTGAAAGAGTAAAGATTCCTTAATTGTTTAACCTACCCTTAAGGGTATTCACCCACATAATTTCCACGTGAAACATCAAATGAATGTCTAATCACCTCACTCATGGACAAATTAAAACGTTAAAAGTTTACTGAGCATGAGTTAAAATAGTAAAACTAAATTAATTAGGAGTGATCAGTTCAACAAAATAATAAGTCTGGATGAACTTGAGGTGACTCGGAAGATTCTAAATGATGTTCACAGTAAATCCTCGAACACTTTTATAGCCTTATGAAAACTTTGAAGGACACTCCTATCTATTATTCT